TATAAATCTTTATAACATTATACAAAAATTAGATTTTTCTTAAAAATTGAAATTTTGCCGGGAATGGGGCTTTAATATTCATGAAAATAATTTAAACTAAGCTCCTTGATTTTTGAAGTCCTATATTTATGCAAAAGCAGCTTTTAGCAATTTTATGACGACCATTAATTTTTGCAAAGCATTGGTTCCCCTCTCACTCTAAAATTGATAAAACTATGTAACTTACAATTATATGCAAACTTTTACACTAATATTATCTGATTTTAAAAACTTACAAGATTTTGGCAATTTTTCCCTTCCACTTTTCATATAACAAACATCGATGAACTGATATGATCTGATTGTATTCAACATCCCATTGTTTACTGGTCTTTTTTCTTCATAAGGAAAACTGGTCGCTATGGAAGTTACTAATGTATCATCTTTGCCAGATTGTTTACATTCAACTTCTCTAGCTATGTTACATATTGGAAAGCCTACATAAAAGAAAAGCAATTATTCAGACAGATGTTACAGTGGCACTATTTATTGTTTTATAGTAGTAATTCCCAAAATTTACAGCATTCATTTTAAAAAGAAGCCCATCTCAAAAAGAAGGCCATCCAAAGGTCGCAAAAAAAAAGAAGCCCACAGCTTCTATTTAAGGTTTTATGGAATTTCAAGTTTACAAAACCTTGTGCTGCATCAGAATTAGTATATTTATTATCATCTTCAAAAGAAGAAATTACAGTAATGTACCTATAATCTGTTGTTATTTAATACCTAATTAATCACCTGTTACTTGAATGTAAGATGTTGTTGATGATCCACAACGGACAAAAATGGATGTTTCGCTCAGAAGATGCATCATAATTTCATCTCCAATCCTACAATTATGAAATAAATCAACAATTATATTTTAAATCTAAATTTATTAAATAATTGAAAAAAAAAAGATATGTTTTGAACTGATTTCAAATAGCAGTGTTCTCACTTATTAAAGATTCTCATCTTTGTGACTGCCCCTGATGAAGCCAGCAAGGTCTTGGAGACTTTGGTACAAGGCGCTATATAAATCTAACTATCTCACATTATGTGTATTTACTTGTTGAAAGCGAATGAAATTAAAGCCTGGTTCTCAAGAGAGCCCTAGTATCCGGATCGTGAACTAACCGTTAGCGCTAACTGTTAGCACCTACGTGAGAATGCCCGATTGGTTAGCGCTAACCGTTAGCAGTATCCGGATACTGCTAACGATTAGCAAGCACTATCGGTTAGCAAGTTGATTGCGTCTCTATCATCAACCAATCACACGTACGTGTTTACAATTTCCAGTTTCTTATTGGCCAGTGATTCGATCATCATATTTTTGGTATCTGGATCGGGATTTTCTCGTATGGACGCACGGCAGCTAACGGTTAGCAGGATCCAGATCCTGATAACCGTTAGCAGCCGTGTGAGAACATAGCCTAAAATTATATAAAAAAAATATACTGAATGCTGACTTGCCTACTGTATAGTGTCTTCCAATATGGAGTCAGAACAAAATTAGAATTGTTGAAGTTATTGAAACCATCAGCATTAGGTGCAGCCAATAAAAGAGGACCATCCCACTGACCAAACTGAAACCAAATATAAACAGGTTAATTGAATTACGATTCAATCTAGTGAAGTCACAGTCTACATTGTTACCTAATACTGTACACATCTTACCATAAAACCGAAAGTAAGGACATTTTCAGGTGCTTTTTTCCCGTGTTTTTTACACAATTTCTGAAGGATGAGAAGCAAAAGTACCAATAAGTATTCTGTCACGTGTTAATTACAGTATACATTTTATTCGAAAAATTTAAATAATTTCTAATAGGCATACTGTAAAAACAACAAAGAAAAACTTAAGAAATATTCAAAGGAGTGGAGGATTCGATGAAATCATTAAAGATATAAAGATGTATTTTCTATTATACTCCATGTTTTAATAGAATTGTGGCTGTTTTCCAGATTATGGAGAAGAAGGTATAAGGAGAAAATACAAAATTTTATACTTTATACTTTTACAAATACATCACATCAAGTTCTGTAACTTTTTGAACTTTAATTCGAACTTTAGGACACAAATGGCTTAATAAACAAATAATTGTTTATATTAATAATTTCTTCATGATCTAGTATAAGTGTAATTTTGCCCTACCTGACATGGAAATGTACTGAATGCTCAGTACATGTGAAAATAATTGCGAAAAAATTGCAAGTTGTTCTTGGGTGAATGAATTTCTTCATGATCTAATAATGTATCAAATCACTATCAAATTAAAAGCATAGCACTATCCTTTACAGAACCAATAACTCTTTGTGTGTGAATATTTATCACTTTTGACATTCCTGTTCATTATCATTTCCAGCTCATTCAATATTCTGACTTACATTTACCACTCGAATTACGACATCATTTTGAGATGACATCTGGTCAGTCGAGTAATTTCTTTTGTTAGGCAACAGGTCCTGTCCTTGGTTGGCAATCACTAGAGTGTTTTCAACAAAATGTTTGTACCTAAAATCACAAGATCCATAATAATCGAAAGAATAAACAATTCGGTTAAGTTGATGTCTTGACAGGTTAAGCATAAAAGTATCAATAATGACTACACAAATTTAAAGAGACCATCTGTGATGATACCACCTCCCTGATACTAAAAAACTTTAAAAACTTGGAACTGAATTGATTAGTTTGTGATTTATCTAGAGGATTAGAATTAAAGAATGTCCTCTAAAATCAGGATCTGGAGGAAAAACATTGTTTGATATGTTGTACAACTGATTCTTCTAAGACACAGAAAGGGTGTTTGACTAAAATCTTGTGAGCGGTCAAATGAGGTACAGCTTTTTGAATATTTAAAGTCAGGCTCTGGAGGAAAAAAATTTTTTGATTTGTTGTAGAACTGATTTTTCTAAGACAGAAAAAAGTTGTTTGACGAAAAACTGGGAAACGGTGAATGAGATACAGATTTTTAAATATTTAAAAACTGGGGGAAAAAGGGGCTTAACTGCCTATTTTTACACCTTATTCCCCCAGTTTTTAAATATTAAAAAATCTGTATCTCATTCACCGTTCCCCAGTTTTTCGTTCAACAACTTTTTTCAGTCTTAGAAAAATCAGTTCTACAACATATCAAAATTTTTTTTCCCTCCGGCGCCTGACTTTAAAAACTGGGGAAAAAAGGGTGTTACACCCCTTTTACCCCAGTTCTTTAAATATTAAAAAATCTATATCTCATTGACCGCTTCCAAGTTTATTGTCAAATATGCTTATTGTGTCTTGAAAAAATCAGTTGTACAACATATAAAAAAACATAAATTATTAGCATTACTCGAAAATTAGAATATAAAATGTTTTTCTCACCAAATAACAAACACATATAATACAAATTCCAAATTATTTTGCATACACCATTAATAGTATTATAAATTTTTATAGTAAAATTGTCCATAAATCAGTGAAACTTTATTTTGTATTTCATTGCAAATATTATATTAAATAACTTTTGATCCTTAACTTTTTGAGTTACCCCAGTGCACTGGTCTAGTGGTGGACAGATGAAAGTATTGTAGCTTGTACCTTAAAACTTTTAAAAACTTTATAAAGTTTTGGTGTTTTTCTGAAATTCATGACAGACAGCCCTACATAAAAAGGCCTAGCTTTAAATCTCAGAAAGGAATAACTTAAATTATTAAAACTTACTGCAGAATATTATACTGAAGTAGATTCGAAGCCTAAACCCCACAAACTGTCTTAATTTAATGACCTCTTATTACAATAGCCTTGGCCAAAGTTAGCCTATAGATAGCCGTAGTCCTTATTATATTATTACAAATACTCCTATCTATAATATTTCTATTTATATTATACCAGCGGCCAGCGGCAAAAAATCTGCTGATGACGGACAGGATCGAGTTGGGGCCTGACTACCCACTATTTTGCCTAACCTAGGCTTAGGCCCTAAAAATAATCAACAAGTGGGGCTAAATGACATTCATGATCCAAAACGAGCACACCTCTGTCTGTCAGTGTCACGGACGACATTCGGAACTCTGTCTTCTAGGCCTAGGAACAACCCCCTGATATACTCAAAGATTGTTTGAGTTTTCCCAAAGGAGGAGAGAACATCTGTAGCTAAAGTGCTTTGATCCGCCATGACGCCAATATTTGACCAAAGTAAGGCCTAGTGCTGTTACTTATCGCCAAAAAATTAGTTAATTATGTAACCCATGCCATCAATCCACGTTTTAAAAATAAGTAAACTTTATCATGCTGTGTTGTTTGTTTCATGTCATTTAATTTCACAGCGCCCCCATAAGGTCAACCTGATCTGCCTGAGAAACCAAGTTCCCAGTTGGTTAAACCATGGAGGTATTATTGAGAAGGAGATCACTCGGCAAAGCTACGCGCACGCAGCGCTATGCAAATGAACCAAGATCAAAGTTGCCGCAGCGCGTAAAGAACGTTTGCGCGATGCCTTTTGAAGTCCCATGTGTTCCCCGCCATCAAATTTTCAATAGGCATAGTTGACCAAAAAATTGAACATGACGAAATGGAGAGCACATTCTTTTCTCAATGCGCACTACCTGTCTCTTATACACATCTAGATGTGTATAAGAGACAGTCTATATGCTGAGTGACACGTCATACAAATAATAACATACCAAAAGCCCGAAAAAATCTAATCAGGGGAACATTGTTCATTATAAAGATATTTAATGGGTTAAAATCAAAGTACGTTTTATTGCACAACTGCTCTGCTGGAAGCGCATAAATGCATGTCGTTGCCAAGTTGTTGCTAACGAAAAAATGTGAATTATATCCAATTCCCGCATTAAAAATTCCTGTGACGGGCCTCTTGGTCTTCCGCAATTTGTAGGCCTACTCCACATGTCCGTTATGGCAATAACCTTCCACAACGGGATATGCGCTGCTTCGAAAAAACTACCCTTCCTGATGCTACTTACCTTCCTACAGTCTCGGTTGCGGCATCGGAAAACCCGGCCATCTATGACTCTGTTGTATACTCCTTCTTGACATAAGATTACAAACTGGGCATACCATCGTTTGAGCCAATACCGTCTGCTTTAGTATCTTCATTAGTGTTTTTATTATTATATTAATATTTTTACAGCAACTGACAGATAAATAAATGATGATGATGATGATGATGATAAAAATAATCGTAGTAGTAATAATAATAGTAATATATTGAAATTGAAACAATGATTTATATTGAACTGAGTATTGTTATCTGAGCTTCAAATATATATTGCAAGCTCAAATATTGTGATAATAATGAATGCATTCCAGAACTAGTTTAGTAAAGCATAAATATAATTATAACACGGTATTCGTTTAACACGGTATGATGAAAAATAAGAAGCAAGTAAGAGACCTGTATATAAGTGTGAAAAATCAATAAAAACCACCAGAAAAGAAATAAGAAGAAAACAGAGAAACGAACATACTCCATTTATGCAAAACACAAAATACCTAATAGGATTGACGGTGTAATATCATTGTTTATTCCATAATTACTTAAAAACAAAACGTGTCGCTTATCCAACGTTGCCATAATGGGGTGGGGGAAGCGTTATTACCAGTCCAACTGTCCGAAAGACATTTTTGCATGGTCTGCATGATACTGTACATTAATATACTCTAATATACTCTACGACTTGGAAGTTTGATTTTGAGCATGAGGGAGGTGAACTTATGCATTCGATACACTGCCCATCAACTGAATTGAATTTTATCCTATATTTATCAGCGTGCGCAACTAGAACCAAAATGCCGAGAAGCGATCGGATGGGAGCGCATCCAGGGAGCTGCGTTAAAACCGGATTTAAAAAAATTAATAATACAAGCTTGAATTGTCATATAATAGTGTAATTCGTGTAGCTAAAGGCATGTTTTGCATAATACTGTACATTAATATTTAAGGACTCTACAAGTTGGAAGTTTGATTTTGAGGATGAGGTGAACTTACGCATTCGACACACTGCCCATCAACTGACTTGAATTTTATCCTATTCAGTATCACTGTGCGCAAAACCAAAATGGGTATTGTAGCGCACAACGATAAACTGCCGAGAAGCGATCGGATGGGAGCGACTCAAGGGAGCTGCGTTAAACCCGGATTTTTTTTATATTAATAACAAGCTGAAATTGTCATATAATAGTGTAAATCGTGTAGCTAAAGGCATGTTCTGCATAATACTGTACATTAATATACTCTAATATACTCTACAATATTCTAATATACTCTACAACTATAATAGTGCACAATGTATAGCGCCGCTACGGCGCTATACGATCTTTGTTTGAAACTATCATCGCCGCCGCTTAGAAGCCCGCTCTCTATCGGACGTGTGCAGCAAAATGACGTCATGGAAAATAAATAAAAACAAGCGAATTGTTGTTGTTCATGCGCAGTAGAGTATAAAAAGAGGTTTTCCATGTGTAATGCCTTTTCGGGAATTCCGCGCGAAAAGACAAAGAGATTGGTACCACCAAGGTTGAACAGATTACGTATTTGCAGGTCAGCTGAATAGTGTTTCAAAGTTAGCAGGAAAAGAAGAACTACGTATACTTCCGGATTACTTTTTACCAATTTTACTAAAAATAGACCATTAGAGACCTGTGAAGTGTTGTATGCCTTGCCTACCAACTTGCTAATATTGCTTAGTTTGTGTAGAGAGGTAGGCCTAGGCCTAGTACACAGTAGTCCAGGCCTATCAGAGTGATTCAGAAATGAGGCCTCTGTTGTTGTTGTTGTCTTAAAATTAAAAACGGGTTTTCTTTTCAACTATGGCAGTGAACAGGGCGGATCCGGAGATGTCCAAATATACACATCTTCGTTTGAGCCAATACCGTCTGCTTATAACACTACCTAGGGGGTCCGGGGGCGTGGCCCCGCGAATGTTTTTCTGTTTTAGAAGACGGCGAATGACATCTGAGGCATTTTGGGAGATAATTTTTTCTTTTTCTTCCCTTCTTTCTTTTTTTTTCTCCCAAAAGGGGAGGGGGGGCCGGATCTGGGGCCCCCTAAATCCGCCCCTGGTGTATAATAGTAGGTCTAAGACTAGAGTAAGCCTGGCCTAGCTAGGCTTAGGCCTATATATTTTATATTGTATGTGCAATATATATATACATATATATATATATATGTATACTATATATATATATAGTATGTATACTCTATATATATATATATCTGTCTCTTATACACATCTAGATGTGTATAAGAGACAGCATATATAGTATGTATACTATATATATATATATATATAGTATGTATACTATATATATATATATATATATATATATATCTATATATAGTATGTAAATATATATATATGTGTGTGTATGGTATGTATGCAATATAATATATATATATACTGTATATATATATATATATATATGAATGATTTGGTACTCCACATATTTAACATAGTCATAAGCATCTATTCATATTATTTATTTTTTAAATAATAAATGGATCACCTTTGCCGGCTCTGTGGCTCTATTTTTATACCTCCTTGGATCAAAAGAGAGGATTTTGTTGTGACTCCTTCTAAATAACAACTCCCTGGTATTAGCATGGTAACATCAATTTAGACAGCGACGTTCTCTCAGAAGTTGTTCTGTAGACTTTTATCTGTTGATGACCTTTTGACCTCCTGAATTCTGCAACTTGAAACTTTTCCTACCCCACCCGGTGATTTTGTTTAACCCCCTGAGGTTTTTTATATTCCCCTCTCCGCTCCCCCCCCCCAATTTTTCCTTGGCCTGGGTCATTTCTCTTTCCCCTTTCACCCTGGGTCGTTCTCCCCAGACTGTATAAAGTAAAAGCCTGCATGGATGGGCAATATTGTCCTCTCAAAAATTAGGCCTAGTAGTAGTAATCCATATATAAACAATAGGAGATTTTCGGGTCGATTCATTCGAGACGGCCCGAGTGGAGTTTCATGTAAATGTTTCGTACGGGAAAAAAAATCGCATCCGGCTGCTGTTGTGTATCTCTATGGGAATCTCCGAATGAAAAGAATGAGTGCTATTTATGTTAATTAACATCGTAAATTAACAGAAAATGATGGCAATTATTTAAAATGCAGATGGATTTTAAATGTTACTAATCCGAAATTTGCATTTTTTGTTGCAGTACTCATTTAGAAGCAAAGACATGTCGTACTATGCAGTGCGTAAGGGACGGAATGTTGGGATTTTCAAAACATGGTACAGTACAGTGCTGTAGTAATTTGCTCTGACTGGCTGGAGTGGTGGTGGTACAGTAGTACTTACCAACAACCAACCATTAAAAAAAAAAAAAAGTCATGCCAAGGTTAGGCTTAAGCTAGTGCTGTAATAGTAGAAGGTTAGGACTAGCCTAATAATTATAATAATACAGGCCCATATATTTAGACTAGGGAAGTTCGAATCACTATAATACCTCCATGGTTGAATCTGTTAGTGTACTGTATATACAGTACACAAGTAAGTAGGGCCTACCCCTACCTAGGTAGGCCTTGAAACTTTTCCTACCCCACCCGGTGATTTTGTTTAACCCCCTGAGGTTTTTTATATTCCCCTCTCCCCCCCCCCAATTTTTCCTTGGCCTGGGTCATTTCTCTTTCCCCTTTACCCTGGGTCGTTCTCCCCAGACTGTATAAAGTGAAAGCCTGCATGGATGGGCAATATTGTCCTCTCAAAAATTAGGCCTAGTAGTAGTAATCCATATATAAACAAAATATGCAGTATTTGCGATTCTGCGCTTGTCTTCCTGGCAATTTTCCGCACAAATTTGAGCTGGTTTTTTGAGGTATTGTCTGCACAATTAAATAACTTTACAGTATGGGTTCACCCTGGCCTGTTTAATGTTAGTTATCCTACGGTTGTTTCATCCTATCCTCAATTACTGTATATAATTTATTGCATTCTGCACTGTTGATTATCAAAATTATATCAAAATTCATGTGTTTCCATTGTTTATTTTTATTAGGGATGAATGCAAGGCTCAAGTTGACAGATTCAAAGGAGCTCAATTTAAGAAGTTTTCAACTGAAGAAGATGCTACAAATTTTATAGGGGCTACAGCCAGTAAGAAGCGACCAACATACAGTAACACAGGTGATTATGTTCAGTTAAATGCAATGATATATTATAATTTTGATTGTAATTGATTTACACTCAAAAGTATTTGCTTTACTCATTTTTTTTTTTTTTTTTTTTATAGAATGCGATGCTCCATATAAAAAGATTCGAGTAAAAAATGGTTAGTGGTAACAGTTATGCCTCAAATTATAACACTTCATCTTATGAAAGTAAGAATGAGATATATCATTAAAGTTATAATGTAAGGTGATAATAATTTAATAACTAAAAAAATAATCATCATCATGATAATGATGATAAAAATAAACTAAAAAATATAATAAAAATATTAATAATAATAAAATAAAATATTATTCATAATAATAACTAAAATAATAATTTTAACAAATTTTGTTCATTGAAGGCCTAAATATCATACTATTACTGTACTCAAAAGTTTATAGTAGTTTGCCAACCTGTTATTCCAAGAAGGCAAATTAGAGTAGATAAATATATCTATCACTTTGACTAATCAGTCCAGGGATACAAATTGCAATTAAGAGTGATTTACAATAGGCTTTTATTTTAGGTACTACATTAAATATAACATGTTAATAGATTGTTTATTTTGTTTGTACTCTGTAGAACCAAGAGTAGTCTACACTGATGGATGCTGCACATCCAATGGAAGGAGTGGCGCACAGGCTGGAATTGGGGTTTACTGGGGGCCAGATCATCCCTGGAATGTTAGTGAGAAATTGCATGGACATCAGACCAATCAAAGAGCACAATTGAAGGTATGTCAATTACATAGATACAGTACATCATTAAAATTTAATTTCCAGAGTATAAACAAATAAACCCTGCAAAATCTTAATTGTAAAAACCAAAATATATATCTTGGATGAAAGCACAAAAGCAGAGTTGGAACTCCTGTCAGTGAGCAAAATAACATTCCTAAAATCAGGTGGTGTTTTTTGTAATCTTAACAAATAAAAATAAGTTAGAAGCCATAAGCATAATATTTATTAAATGAAAGTGCAAAAGGGCAAGTGATTGTCTCCCAGTGTATACAGTAGATGTTTTGCCACTGGGCATTGCTGACATGGTGCATCCGTACGCTGTATTCAGTAGATTGGTGTGTCCGCTTTTCTATTTCACATCCAGATAAACAATGGTTCGTTTTTTCTTTACAGGCTGCAGTTCGAGCAATTGAGGTTGCTAAGGAAAATGATTTAAATGATATTGAACTCAAAACTGACAGCATGTACACCATCAAATGTAAGACTCACTGTTCTAGAATCTAGAAATTTTTATACATAATTTGTTTTAAATTTTATGTGATCATCGTTTTTTGTTTCTCATTAAAGGTAGCATTGGAATATGATGTAATGGAATTAGATTTATGTAGCGCTTTATAACGAAATGGTCTCATAGTGCTTAAGGTGTGGGGTACAGGTTTTACAGTAACCCGCTAAGGGTCTCTTCATGTCATTAGCTACCCGGTAGACCGGTACCAGATACTCTTGTCTGTCTACAACAGCAATGGCAAGGAGTAGTAGAGCCCAGGCTAATGCCACTGCGCTTGTGTTCTGTGCAAAGGAAACTAGCCACTTCCTTCCTTCTGTGAATGCGAAGCACATTTTGATAATCAGTGCAATATGCACAAGCACGTTATGAATACACAGAAGTTTCTTGGATACAACCCACCAATAACTTGGGCTTATTATACCTGAGAAACAACAGTATATATATATGGATATTTTATATTTTTATTGATATGATATACGGTATTTTTGTTTTTCATATCATATATTATAACATTACTGTACTTATTATTAGAATAAAAAAGTAGGTATAATGTACAGTAGCATATTTGAATTGTATGTTATTCCTACATTCATCATATATATGTTTTTTTGAATTAGGTGTTACAGATTGGATAGATAAATGGAAAGAAAATGGATGGAAAACAAGTAAAAAGGGCAATGTTGTAAACAGAGATTTAATTGAGGCCTTGGATGAAGCAAGGCAGGACATTAATGTTACATGGGTTAGTTATTTTATATTCAATTCAATTCAAATAAATTTATTATTTAGTGTAAATTTGAATATTGTTCTTTTCTATGTATATATTATTGACAATATAAACATTCAAAAAATCAATTTATAGCTGAGACAAGGTATAAATGTAATTGATATTTAAAACTACTGTATTCGTATTTGAAAGTTTCTTCAGATCTTCTGGTAGGTAATTCAAAATTTTTCGACCTTGAAAAGTTTATATCATGGCGACAAACTTCAGTAGTTAAAACATTCATAGACATAATTACTTTTATTTCTGTGTGGCAATTGTGAACTGTCTGAGGCAATAGGCAATAGGCATATAAACATGAACACACAAGCCACTGCAGATTTTGTAAAAACCATCATTTCATATTCATTATCCTGCACTCATTTTGCTGTTCATATCTCCAATACAAGTCATCAGCAAAACAAGAAGCTATAGGATAATTTTTTATCATTTTCATTGCCTCCACTATCTTTACCCAGTCAGCAGCATGCTGACTGGGTTCTGTTTCCAAGCAGTTTCTTACCCAGTCAGCAGCAGCTGACTGGGTTCTGTTTCTTAGCAGTTTCTTCCTTCTTTCTTTACCCAGTCAGCAAGCAGCAGCTGACTGGGTTCTGTTTCTTAGCAGTTTCTTCCTTCTTTCTTTCTTTATCCAGTCAGCAGCAGCTGACTGGATTCTGTTTCTTAGCAGTTTCTTTCTTTCTTTCTTTCTGGCAACATTTTAAAAGGCTACTAGTGGCAAACTACTGGACCGATTTAATTAAAACTTGGTCAGTAGGACCGGTGCCACCTCCCATTTGTGTGTTGTTCACAGCTTGGGGTCAAAGGTCACATAAGGGGCATTAAGGTCAAAAAACCAAAAATCGTATAAAAGACTACTTGTCTCACAAATAACGTAGCACAGTCTTGTCCTTTGCACATATACATTGGCATAAGGCAGGGTCTATAAGGTGTTCAGGGATAAGTGGTCAAAGGTCATTAAGGGGTAATCTTTATCTTTTTCTGGCAACATTTCAAAACGCTACTAGTGCCAAACGGTTGTGCCGATTTCAACCAAACCTGGTCAGTATAATCGGTGACACCTCTCATACATGGGGTGTTCACTGCTTGGGGTCAAAGGTCACATAGGGGTCATTAGGGTAAAAAAATTTCAAAAAAATAAATAAAAGACTTCTTCTGTCACAAATAACATAGCAGTCTTGTCCTGGGCACATATGTATTGGCATAAGGTAGGGTCGTTATGGTGTTCAGCGATTTACAATCAAAGGTCATTAAAGGGTTATTCTTTTGTTCTCTATAACATTTAAAAATGCAACTAATGGCAAACCATTGAAATAAATTCAATCAAATTTCGTCATTAAGAACCGGTGACACCTCCTACACCCCAGTCTGGGATCAGGGGTCATCTGGGTTAAATTTTCAAAATAGCCCAATTGAGCTCAAATTTACCAGGAATGATCCTTA